TCCCCAGCCGGTGGGCGGCCCGGCCCCTCTGACCGCTCGCCGGGGCGGCTGGCCGGTGGGGGAGGAAGGGTGCGCCCGCGTCCACCGGGGTCCGGCGCTTCGCGGAGCTCCCGGACGAAGAGGTTCGATCTGCAGTCAGCCGGACCAGAGTTACCTTGCAAACGAGGAACTGGGCTGTGGAGGCTTTTTCTCCCTGGGAGAAAAGCGTTAGGAGCCAGGAACCCCTGGCTTACATCTGTAACCCTAGTTAGCTGTTTAGGCTTGAGATCTGAGGCTGGCAGTTCGAAGCCAGCCCAGGCAGGAGAACCTGTTCGAGAGACTCCTGTCTTCAGTTAACCAGCAAAAAGCCAGAAGTGGAGCCGTGGCTTGCATGGTAGAGCACTAGCTTTGAGCGAAAAAGCTCGGGGACAGTGCCCCGGCCCTGAGGTCAAGCCCTAGTACCGGCAAAAAACCCAGAACAACCACAAAAAAGTCCCGTTGTGCATCGTGTCTTCTCTGCCATGAAACATTTAAAACCTGTATTGTGCAGTGAGGGCTGGAATACAAGTTTTCCCTGAGGATTTGTATTTGGGAGAAAGACGACCCTGAGAACTTCTATAAAGTGCCATATTGAGCAGTGATTGAGTAGAAGGGTGTTTCTGTAGTTTTGTTTTTTTTAATTGGCTGGGAAGAGTTTTTCCTAGTCTTTATTTAGAGTCCAGAAGTTGTTGTGACTCAGGTTTAGGCTTGTACTCACCAGGGATGGGCTTAGAACTGCCCCCAAAGAGAGGTGGCAGCCGTTCATCACCCTTTTGGGTGACTGTTGAAATCCTTATTTAACTGAGACTAGCTGTCCAACTGGTTTGGTTACCAGAGTGATTCAAACAGGGCTGTGTTGTTGAGGAACATGGTAGCGAGGGACTCTCAGTCCCAATAGTAGAAAGAAATTAAAAATTACTTTAGTATTACGTATGTAAATAAAGTTTGCCTCATCTCCAGCCCCTTTTTGTAATGTTACTGCTTTTTTCCTTTTCTTTCTTTTAGGACTGACTTTCTCAACAGGTGTTGAGTGTATAGCAGAGTGTAGCTTGTGACTGTCACCAAAAGTAATACAGAAAATCAAACCTCAGGAAATGCATTCCTGTTAGATTTTGAACATGATAAAGGAAAAGCTAGGCTTTTATCTGTGTAAGTGATAAGAATTAGAATTACCTTGACAAGCTTGAATTACAGTGAAATGTATAGTGAACTCAGTTGTATCTGTTGGGGAGGGGGACCTATATGGAAAACCTGAAGTTGAGTGAACCTTTGAGCATCTTTCTAGTAATTTTTATGCTTACATCTCAACTCACAGGATAGCGTAATGTGCACACTAAATGTAAACGCTTATATCAAACAACTGGATTTGAAATCTGTACCTGCCATTTCCTTCCTGAGTCTTAGCTTTCTTATTACTAAATACAGATCATAAATATTTCTTTTGGAGTTGTGCTGTGGACTGAATGGAATGAAGACAGGTAAGACTAGCTCTGTGCCTGTCCATTGCAGGGGTAGTACAGTGATTCTTTGTAGGATGTACTCCCCTTATACACAAACAGTGGAAAATACTGGGCAGGGAATCAGCTGGGATTGTTTCGTTTGAATCCAGAAGTGGCCCAAAGTGGGCTGCAGTAGTGGATTTACAGCTTGTGTTCAGTAATCACATTATACCTCTGCCTCTCTTTGGCGTTTTAGTATTTTACTGAACAGCAGCAAAACTCGTGCAGTGCTGTTGAATTCACAGTGACCCAGTGGTTCCAGTTCTGAAATAGACTATTCTTCTAAATTATTATAGTGTGGGTAGAAAAAGTGGTCGTGAAGACATGCTTAAGTTGCTTTAGTCATTTCATGTTGTAGGCCTTCGTAAAAAATTACCTTGGAACCCATATGTATAACTATGCTTTTTCTCTTTCTTTCTTTCTTTCTTTCTTTCTTTCTTTCTTTCTTTCTTTCTTTCTTTCTTTCTTTCTTTCTTTCTTTCTTTCTTTCTTTTTTCCCTTCTCAGTCATGGGGCTTGACCTCTGGGCCTGGGCACTGTCCCTGAGCTCTTCAACTCAAGGCAAGAGCTCTACCCCTTGAGCCACAATGCCACTTCTGGTTTTCTGGTGGAGATAAGAGTCTAATTCTTTCTATTAGGAGATAAGTCTCACAGAGACTTTCCTGCCTGGGCTGAGATCCTCTGATCTCAGCCTCCTGAGTAGGTAGGATTACAGGCATAAGCCACTAGCGCCCAGTTAACTATGGTTTTTCAATAAAAGTATTTACCAAAGAAAAAAATACTGGACTGTACTTGGCAGTGACCTTTTGAAATGCTGAAAAGGGATACCTCAGTGAATTTCATACTACTTCTTTTCCAGTCCTTAGACTCTAACCTAATCTGTGATTGTGTTTGAAACAGAGTCTCACTGTGTAGCTCAGGCTGGCTTGGAATTCCAAATCCACCTGTCTCTCAGCCTGAGTGCTGAGATTACAGCACGTGATATGTGGTCTAGTCAGTGATTCTTAGAGTCTATATTGAGGACGAGGAAAACACTAGTGATGGATTATAGATTTTAGATAGAACGTGAAATCGCAAACAGAGCCTTTACAAAAAAGGAACTGCACAATTCTATGTATTTTGTACAATACGTTTGTTTGTTTGTTTGTTTGTTTTTTGGGTCCGGTTGTGGGGCCTGAACTCTGGGCCTGGGCGCTGTCCCTCAGCTCTTCAGCTCAAGACTAGCGCTCTACCACTTGAGCCACAGCGCCACTTCCAGCTTTTTTCTTTTTGCTTATGTGGTGCTAAGGAATTGAACCCAGGGCTTCAGGCATGCAAGGCAAGCGCTCTACCACTGAGCCACCTTCTCAGCCCCAACACGTTTGGTTTGTAGAGTCAGCATTGCAGCCTTGTGAGCACTGTTGGCCACTTGAGAAAGTTGCAGCTCCGGTGACTTTCCAGCGTGAAAAGGTTGAGACAGACAAGCTTTTTGTAAGTATCAGACTTCAGTGTCTTAAATTCACCTTAAAAATTAAAAACTTCATGTCATTGATTTACAGGGTTTGTGAAGATGAACTCACATAGCTTTTGAGTCTTAAAATTCTCAAGGGATTTAAAACAGGAATGATAGCTCATTGATGCTGTTACTTTATTAAGAGGTACTTGATGCACATAGTGTTCTCTTGCTTTGGCCACTGTATAAAGAAACACCACTACCCTTGCCTGTGCTGGTGAGCGTAGGGATGAAGTGCTGCCCATCGCTGTTCTGACAGTTATTGCCCAATAAGCCATGTGTCTATATGTGCAATGCATATTGAGTAATCCTGGAAGGTTTTTGTAGGTTACAGTAACGGAAATAAGTGATAGAATTTGCAAAAATATTATAAGGTAAACTTTTATAAAAGTTTAAAAAAAAATAGAGAATGTTACAATTTTTTTCAATGTGTGCCTGTCTTGGGCTTGAACTCTGAGTCGGGGCACTGCCCTTGAGCTTTTGTGCTCAAGTCTAGTGCTCTACCACTTGAGCCACACCTCTGCTTCCAGCTCTTTTGCTGGTTAATTGGAGATAAGAGTTTCCTAGAATTTCTTCTTCTTTTTTTTTTTGGTCCGGTTGTGGGGCTTGAACTCTGGGCCTGGGCGCTGTCCCTCAGCTCTTCAGCTCAAGGC